AGCGGTATGAGTATGGTGCTAAGCGGGGTCCCGATCTCGTCCTCAAGAGCTCAACGAGCATCGCGAGTCACCGGACGGCAATCGATTCAGTCTTCATCATTCACCGCCGGCTCTTCTCGACGAGAACGGTAACGTTCACGATAACATGGAACTACTTGTGGGTCGAGGGTCAAACCCAGTACCTTGTTAAGTGGCGGGGATACTCCGACTTCGAGAACTCGTGGGAGTTTGAAATGCAACTTCGGCAAGAATGTCCAGACGTCATGGAAGCTCATGATCAGAGGATGCATAACGTTCCGTGTCGTTGTACGCCCTGCGCTTCTCGGCAATAGCCAGGGAAGCCGAAGGGCATGAGCTGAGATCAAGCTATGGCACTGAGCTGCTGCGGTCGCAGACTTACCCGTTGAGAGACTACAGAGCTCGCGGGAGCGGGATGGATCAAACTATTCGTCGCAGGGCGACAATCTGAAGGAAGACGGTGACGCGCTTTGACTTTGGCAGACTCAAACCGAAGATGGCGTTCCACGCGCGCGCCCACCTCCTCGTGGCTCAATCGTAAGTTGTACAGCGAGATATTTTTTCGGTGCCGCTGCACCTATCGCTCAAAGAGCACTTTGTCATCTGAAGCGGTCTCGCCAGGGGCGAGCACCACAAGAATCGTCTTCATCGCGGGTACAAGAGTGCCCCCTCTTTGAGTACGAAATCGAGTGCGGTACGTATCCACCGGAAATTCTTGAGGAACCAAAAAGTGAGCTCGGAGAGCTTTCCGATGATCAAGCTCAGCCTGCGTAGTGACCGGGAGCCCGATCACTTAGACCCCCAACGATCGAGTGATCGCGTCCTTCACTTCTGTAGCGGGATTCACCGAGCGGAAGCCGTATTCCACACGAGGGTAAAGGACCGACCGTGGATGCGCGCATGAGAGCCGCTCACAGACAGCACCCAGCTGCTGTTTGTGTGCCTCGTTTAGAAGTCGAGAGTTCGGGAAAAGGACAAGGCGTCCGCAAAGTCTAAGCAGGGCACACGTCGCACCGCAGCTTCCCATCCTGGGAAAGGGGCTACCGACTCGTAGTTGACTTCCTTCAAATCCTCGATGAGGTAATCCAACGCCTGTGACGGGCGATGTGCGCGGTTGGAAGTAGCCATTGCGTCTGTGTTGTTGGTCGTGCGATCCTGTCACTGACAATGTGCTGCGCGGTATTCGGTTATTGAGAGTTTAGGTTGCTCTTCCCTTGAAGCCGCAGACGTGTTGTCCGAAGTTGCACTGCGTACAGGGGACGAAGAATGGCTCTGCCCGCAGGCGTTCTCGGAACCAGCGTAACTGGGTGTTCTTCCGTGGCGTCGACACAGAGTTCATTGAGCAGAGAATATGTGGAGAAGTTCCTGACGGCGTTGCCTTGTTCGAGGCGACACTTGAATGTGAACTGTAGGTGCTTACAATCTTGATGGGGGATCTCTACTAAGTTTGCACATCTCCGACAAGCTAAAAGGCCCGTGTTTACATCACATGCTGGTGGGAATGTCAGTTGACATGATTTTGCAAGGTCTGATTGAGCATGATGGCATGTAAACTTGAAGCTCAGGTCAACGAAGTATACACTTACCATGATTGCTCCTACCCGACATGGCTGCCGCTTGAATATTAATGCATGATCATGGTCATTTTGATCAAATGAGCTACCAAGAAAGCCCCTTTAGACACGAGAGTTCCAACTCACCCACTTTGACCCTGTCACGAGGAGCTCGTGACAGGGTCGCAAGTCTCAATCGACGTACTGCTTAAAACTACAAGATTCAGGATACTACTGGCGAGAACACACTGCCATATTCGGCATTGCTCAAAGCCTCCTGAATGTAGCTTTCCTGATTCCTTCCTACCAATAGTCTAGAATTCTTGGTCATCTCCATAAACCTCGTCATTCTTTGGAAGGCTAAAGCTTCGGTTGTGCATTTTACTTGTGGGGCAAAGCTCGTATTCGGCCGATTGCACCGAGAAATCTACAGCAAAAAATTCAACGAATCATTTCAAATTTTGTTAAAGAAATCAACGCCGTGATGGGCCGCGTCATCATCGACTTCATCGTCGCTATACTCTCCTCGATTGGAGATTTTACTACAATTGCAGTTCTCATACCAAGACATTCAAGACGTGCGTCGATTATGACATGTTAAATGAGTACATAGCAAATGATTTTGTATAATTTGAATAACACTACATTTGACCACTTTCACAATTCTCAAGCATCCAGGATGCCAGATCATTCCAGAATTTGTGCTTAGCCTCCATGGTCGATATAATCTTTTTAGTTTGCGTACCACTTGCTTGAGTTGCAATGGATTATTCAGCGTAGAGCCAGAAAGTTAACGTAACATGTTGATGTAGTTCTTAGTCGAATCTTGTATCGCTAAAGTATCCATTTGCCTTAGTTTTTTTATTATGCAAAACGATTTGAAACGACAACTTTGTAATCCTGTTCTCTTTGTGCCAGAAGGATTTAGCCACCGCCTTGAACTGCTTCTGCATTGCCTGGCCAAAACCTTTTAATCCAGGCTTCAACTTATTGTATCATCCCGGATCTTGAAGTCACTCTTCAGTGAATTCGTATGGAAGAGCATGGTCTTTAGAACTCGCGATCCTGTAGCCTACGTTTCTTTGCTCTAATAAACCTTCACTTTTCAGATTTCCCGTTTTTCTCTTCATCCGAGTTTTATGATGCTGCTGCTGGCTTACAGCACTGTCTGAAATGGTGAAAATTGTACATTTTGTTTGTCGCTCTACGTGATAATATTTTATAAGCGCCGTGTAAACCCTGTGGGTCTTAGTTTTGTCGTTTCTTACAATTATTGGCCGGCCTTACCCCGCTCACCCAGCGGCTTGATCCTGTACGTGTGTATACAGCGTATCGTGAATCGAAAAGTACAATGTCGACCAAAACTGTGCCCGGTTTGTCCGGCCTCGATCGTCGACATTCTTGGTTCAAATCTGTGGGACTTCAAAAATACCGCATGGCGTCCCCAAAACGTATAAACACAAATCTTATATCAACACAAACGGCATCGCGTTTGCAAATCAACTTCAACGTTACGTCGATTGTAAACGCCGAAATTAAATCCTTCTTTTAGCCGCCAAGAGATTAATATCGTGTAACAAGACGGGAATTTACATAGAATTAAAATGCAATAGAATACAGCTTCCACTAGTGCTGACTTGTAGGGCTCTACATCTTCAAGATTCCGCGATATAGCACAAGTTGTCGAGTGTTCCTGATAAATCCCAATAATGCGCCGACCACGCTTTTATGCAATAAGCCAGAAGTGTGTTCCTACTTCAGAATGTGTGCCTCTAATAATGCGTTTGGCTTACCTCTCGCACAACAAACTGACCAGAGAGACCCCACAGTAGGTTTGTCACTCGTACACCCGCCATTTCAGTAAGAACATACTTTACAACTACCTAATACGTTCGGACTTGGGTAATTGAGATAATACAGCACAGTCGGACCAGCATCACTAAGCTCTGATATGTCCTGACAAGTGTAAGTGACGGCCAAAAGATCGTATTTGGATGCGAGGACGAATCTGTAGGAAGCGATACTTTTTTGTTGCTACTTTATCAAATATGTTCGGGTAGACGGTCTACTGCGCTATCAGCGAAGTCAAGCTCTGAAATACCACCAAGAGTGCAACGAACGGTTCGAAAGGATTTTGACGATAGCAGATATCTGCAAAGAGGAAATCAGCTTATCTGCCAATATCATGATGTCCAGGAAGTTTTGAGAGAGCGTCTGATACGATAAAGGCGTGTTTTTGCTAGGGATTTTTATGGCCGACTGCAAGGAGCGTTAAGCCAGCAAAAACAGATGCCATCTGACCAAGGATAATTGAATGTCCGCTTCGTCCTGTACTGATTAGGTTAAAGTATTATAGGGAGAAGTGTAATATGCTCTTTATGAAGGCAATGAGAGACGAGAGAGTAGCTGTTTTGGAAGATTGCATCAAGTTTTAGCCAGAAACATGGGGACCGTTAGAGCAGTACAAAGCTGTTGGATTGGAGCAAGTGGCAGCCGTACCCGATGTCATCACAAATTGCTGTGATTTATGTAAATTTCCATTTTTTATCCTGAGCAATTATCGAATCACAAAGTGTTATCTAAATCTTACTGGTTTATGCCAGTCTTCTTGAGGTATTGTGAATACGTAATTGCTGGACGGGTTCCCACTGCGCTTGGAATTTGACTTCACCACTTGCACCTTGTAGTGCCTGTGATTATGTGGACTCACTTCTCGAGCAATGTCCCATGAATCAACAAGCCTGTTGGAAAGACGCAATCCTTGCGGCCAACGACCGTAAGATCATTTTCGATAAAGAGGCCGTGGTGTTCTCTAACATGAACAGCCATCTTAACTCTCTAAGTCGTGATCCCGCAACTCGGTCTCCACCCATAGATACGTCAGATTCATCCACTAATAAAGAGACTTATTGTATGCTTTGCCGCTCCTTGACACAGCTTACGCACTATATATCTTCTCTTTGGCGAAAAGGATCACGACACTCTGTCGCGGAGCTCATGACCACATCCGCTTGTCACCAATATATTGAATCTATCAAAGAGCCGAATTTGTCCGCTACAAGTTCCAACGAGTTTTGCTGGCTCCATCTATATACTCATTAGAGGTCTCTTGCTGCGTCGTGACGGGGCCCTTACAAGCCTAAGCGCTGACCCTACAGGTAATCACTCATCAGGTGCACTTTAAGCAGCAGAGATCTAAAGGCCGTATTCTTGCAGAGGTTGCGCTTTTGCTGGGGTTCGTTGAGTATCAAACGCTGGCGAGAATTGTCGCGCTCAATTTGAGCAATGGGTGAGTAAGACACGTCACTTTAGTCGTCTAACATCCTTGCAAGCCAGCTTCAGTGAAACAGACGTCTGGCGGGAACGCATATGATTGATTGTTTTGCGACGTACATAGCACGACGCGGATGGATCTCGCTGCGAACAGCCTATTCATCTTTGTAAGTTTGCTGACACATCTTTTAACCACAATACCGGGCCCACTTACTAGTGGCAAACGCGCTACGCTAGTCGACCCTGTATCATCTCCTGTATCGATAAAGACCAAAGATGCGTCCTGTCATAAGCGGCAATGGCGCATGACAATAATGCCGAGGTGGAGCCACAACATCTGCTATGTTCTAGAAATTAGGATCTCCCGTTCACTCCACCAGATGCTGGTTACAGCCTTGGCAAACCTGCCGGATAACATCTGATTCACATAGAAGTGGACCACATTCCGCATATAGCAGTGCTGGTCCCGGAAGTTGCTCTTGTGATCTCTCCAGGCTATGGAAACTTGTCGACCCTCTCTTAGAGTACCGGCGTGTGGCGAACACTGAAAAAAGCCACGTGACAGCTTCAAACCATATCGCTGCCCTACCGCAATAGGTAGCTCTGCTACAGAGAGTAATTGACACATCGCTTCGTCGTCAACTGAGTGCTTCATTTCTGAATGACTCGCATGAGCGCGATTGTGGTATGGCTTTAACAAATCCACTCAAAAAAAGGATCCATTCAGATTTTTTTAGAAATTGTGCGTGCTTTCTGGCTACCAACATGTACACCCGAATGTAGTGGGTTCATCGACATTAGACGACTGTCGATGGAATATAACAATAGTCAATGGACCCTATTCCTTCGACACGTTTATCTGTCTGACATCTGCACGTAAATTTGCACATTCTGGCCTTCAGTAGAGCGCCGTATATTTGGCGCGGGACGCTTAATCTCATCGATAAAAAAGTCCGTGATTTTTCTACGAAGTAAACTCAGCAGGTCGAATCAAATTGACAGCCCTTCCTATCACCAATATTACAGCCGATTTGAGGTGGTGTCAAAGAACAGGAGGGTTGTACAAGTCTATCATACAAACAGAGATAAACGAGGCGAGGCTTGGGTAGTATCATTTAAAGCAAAATTAGCGATTAAAACAGCATCACGATCTCTCCGCACACTTGCTTCGGAAGATATTATCCACAACGAGGTCCAGATCACTACCCAGAATAATGGTCACTGTCAAGTCACGTTGGTAGAATCCGTGTCAAGGAACGACTTAACACTATTAAGGTGTCACGGACAGCAACGAGCCATCTTGCTCGTACTATCCACAAGAACCACGGTGGCGTATCATTAAACGCGTTTCTTGAAAGTTCAAAGTATATCTAATCCTCACGGACTGCCAACATTCTGCCAGAGCCGACAAATTGTCCAAAGGCGCCGACGCATGCGATTAAAAACTAAGCTTAGGACACGTTTGTACGTGCGCGCAAGACAAAAGCACATTCACCGCCACACTGCTCCGATCAGCTTAACTCCTAAACTCAAAGTTATTTCTGCAGAAACGGACTGGTATATTGTCACTTTCTGTGAGGAATGTGGTGGCAAACATCGTTATGCACAACAACGCGAATTCTCTATAGATCATGAACCAGCTGATAGAACATAATCCGTTGCAAGTTGCTCCTTGTCGTAAACAGGTTAGTCTTAGTCTGCCGCTCAAAGCTCACGCGGCTGCCAGCCTGAGATAAAAGCCCAATTCACTTTCAGGGAGAGAGTCTGATGCCACTGCAGTGACAAGAGTCTTTAAATTCTTGACGCTCCGCTAGTTTTTGCCCCTCTTAATGGGTGGGCTAGAACTTTGTATGCACCCGATACGCCTGGTTTCGCGGAGCAACCACCCGCGATAAATGTCGCATCAAAAGTGTTAGGAGCGCGTCTTCCCGTAGATATGCTGCACAATAATGCTCATTCTCGCACGCAGCCACGTTGTAACGAGGTTACACTCACCCTTGTATGAAAGGGCGGATGTTGCGATGGTTCTTTGGTGTGGATAACACAAGTTGATGTAATCACACAGTGGTTTGGCTACATCGTAACAAAACGTGGCAGGATTGCCAGTAGTAATGCATATTACTATATTGATTAGGTTTCACTACATTAGTTAGGCATTACTATACTCACGTATTTTCCCGATTAGAGTCCGGTCTTCTATTTATTAGTACCGGACTCAAGCCAAAAAAATCCGGAATTTTTCCAGAAAAAAAGAATATTTTAGTGACAATGTGAAAATAGCGATTTTGGTTTTCGAAGTACGTCTCAAACTCAAAATAGATACAAAAAAAACATTTTTAACAATTCTAGAGAAGATACCTCCGACACGGGTTCGCTACCGCGTGTTTGGGTCCA